AGCAAATATAATTTTATCCGGGGGAACCAATATTGTTGTAAAAGAGGCATTATACTCCTCTAAATAAAAAAGAAACTTATTAAGTTTCAAAGATATACGACTTAATGGGTTTCATGTTGAAACTATGAACGAAAGAGGTACAGAATACCTTTGTATCACATACACGAATCATTGCCAACAGCAAGTAAAAGAAAAACTTCCAGTTTTCTCATCTGGATTGTATTATACCACCATTAGTGTCATCGAATCAAATGTTATCGTGAACCAGAAGTTCAGTGATCCTAAACAATTTATGCTTTGGCATGATCGACTTGGTCACCCTGGATCGACCATGATGCGTCGTGTACTAGAGAACGCCAATGGGCACCCTTTAAAGAACCATAAGATCCCTTTGCCTAATGAATGTGTCTGCATAGCATGTTCACAAGGTAAATTAATTACAAGGCCATCCCTAATGAAAGTTGGCAATGAGTGTCCAACATTCTTACAACGTATTCAAGGAGACATTTGTGGTCCTGTTGACCCACCTTTTGGACCATTTCGTTACTTCATGGTCTTAATAGATGCCTCATCAAGATGGTCTCATGTATGTTTGTTGTCATCACGTACAACTGCTTTTGCTAAACTCCCTGTTCAGATAATCAAATTGAGAGAACACTTTCCTGATTATCCAATCAAGACCATCCATCTTGATAATGCTGGTGAGTTCACATCTCAATCCTTTAATGATTATTGCATGTCGATTGGAATTGATGTTGAACATTCAGTTGCCCATGTTCATACCCAAAATGGCCTGGCAGAGTCATTCATTAAGAGATTACAATTAATTGCTAGACCTTTGCTTTTAAGGTCAAACTTGCCTACCTCTTGTTGGGGGCATGCCATATTACATGTTGCATCATTGGTGCGTATAAGACCAAGTTCTTATCATTCCTACTCACCATTGCAATTGACTTCTAGCCAGCAGCCAGAGCTCTCCCACTTAAAAATATTTGGTTGTGCGGTGTATGTTCCTATCTCCCCACCTCAACGAACAAAGATGGGCCCACAGAGACGACTTGGAATTTACGTTGGTTTTGATTCCCCATCTATCATTAGATATATTGAACCATTGACAGGGGACTTGTTTAAAACAAGGTTTGCTGATTGTCATTTTGATGAGACAGTTTTTCCACCGTTAGGGGGAGATAAAACCCTAATTCCTATAGAACAACGTGAAATTACTTGGAATGTACCATCTTTATCTCACTTGGACCCACGCACGAATCAAAGTGAACAGGAGGTGAGACGAATAATACATTTGCAAAATATTGCAAATCAATTGCCAGATGCATTCACTGATACAAAAAATGTGACGAAATCTCACATACCAGTTATTAACACACCTGCACGTGTGGACGTCTCAGATGAACAAAATAATGAAGCACTAAAACCACGCATTAAGCGTGGACGTCCCCTTGGTGCGAAAGATAAGAACCCTCGAAAGAAAAGGGTACAAGAGATGAAGATCTCAAATGATAATAATATTTCAAATCAAGAAAACGCTAAACAAAATATGACTGATCAGTCTGAAATTGTTAAAGAAAAGACCTATGAAGAGGTACATACTAGAAGGTTTTAGATCTGAAGAGACATCCCTAAACTATTTGAGTACAAAAGAGAGTTGGGATAGAAAAAAGTGATCATCGATGATATTTTTGCTTATAGTGTTGCATTAAATATTACAAATGAGGATCCTGAACCAAAATCTGTAGAAGAATGTCGACATAGAAATGATTGGCCAAAATGGAAAGAAGCAATGCAAGATGAGTTAAAATCTCTAGAAAATCGTAAAGTTTTTGGACCTATAGTTCAAACACGTGAAGGTGTAAAGCCCGTTGGGTTCAAATGGGTATTTGTGCGGAAACGCAATGAGAAAAATGAAATTTTCAGATATAAGGCAAGACTTGTTGCCCAAGGTTTTTCACAGCAGCCTGGAGTCGATTATGATGAGACATATTCACCTGTGGTAGATGCAATTACATTGCGTTATTTGATTAGTTTAGTAGTCACAGAAAGACTTGACATGCGTCTTATGGATGTTGTTACAGCATATTTGTACGGATCTTTAGATAATGAGATTTACATGAAAATCCCCGAAGGATTCAAAATTTCTGATGCATGCAATCAGAAAGCTCGTGAGTTATTCTCAATCAAGTTACAGAGATCATTATACGGATTGAAACAATCTGGTAGAATGTGGTATAACTGTCTTAGTGAATACCTTGTTAAAGAAGGTTACATAAATGATCCAATCTGTCCATGTGTTTTCATCAAGAAATCTGAAGTTGGATTTGCCATCATAGCAGTGTATGTAGATGACCTAAACCTTGTTGGAACACCAGAAGAATTATTAAAGACTGCAAACTATCTAATGAAAGAGTTTGAAATGAAAGATCTAGGGAAAACCAAGTTTTGTCTCGGCCTGCAGATCGAGCATGTATCGAATGGGATTTTTATCCATCAATCAACATATACGGAAAAGGTCCTAAAACGATTTTACATGGATAAGGCACACACATTGAGCAGTCCCATGGTTGTTCGGTCATTGGATGTAAAGAAGGACCCTTTTCGTCCTCGAGAAGATAATGAAGAAGTTTTAGGTCCAGAGGTACCTTATTTAAGTGCTATAGGGGCGCTAATGTATCTTGCAAATTGTACAAGACCTGATATAGCCTTTTCGGTTAATTTGTTGGCAAGATATAGCTCAGCACAAACACGACGACATTGGAATGGTGTTAAACATATCTTACGTTATCTTCGTGGAACAACCGATATGGGCCTATTTTATTCAAAAGGTTCGGAATCACAAGTTGTTGGTTACGCTGATGCTGGCTATCTTTCTGACCCACATAAGGGTAAATCACAAAGTGGATATGTTTTTACTTGTGGTGGTGCTGCAATATCATGGAGATTAGTAAAGCAAACACTAGTTGCAACCTCATCAAACCACTCGGAGATAATAGCGCTATATGAAGCAAGTCGAGAATGCATATGGTTAAGGTCAATGGCTCATCACATTCGAGAAACTTCTGGATTATATTTGAATAAGGCTCCATCATTACTCTATGAAGATAATGCTGCTTGTATTGCACAAATTAAAAGAGGCTACATCAAAAGCGACAAGACAAAGCACATATCACCAAAATTCTTCTATCCGCACAAGCTTCAGAAAAGTGGAGACATTGAGGTTCGTCAGATACAGTCATGCAATAACCTTGCGGATTTGTTCACAAAGGCATTGTCAACTACGACATTTAGGAAGATGATCAATGGTATTGGAATGCGTCAAATCAAGGATCTTTTGCCATGTCCAGGGGGAGCATTATAAGCACTGTACTCTTTTTCCTTCGTCCAAGTTTTTGTCCCATTGGGTTTTTCTTGGCAAGGTTTTAACGAGGCAGTGTCTTAAGCTCAAGTCTACCTAAATGGTGAACATCTAAAATCGGGGGAGTGTTATGTACAAATGTCTTTTGATGTTCTCCATGTCTTTTGATAATCCCCATTAAGATTAGACTTTTTGTTTTCCCCTTTGTAAGCCTATATATATAGAGGCTCTATGTGTTGAAATGGTACATCATTCTCTTTGATCTCTTTTGCATTCTTTCTCCTTTGATTCTCCATTACACTTTGATCTTTGGTTTGTGCTATCAAGGTATATCTCTATCATTTGTTCATAACGATATTCGTATTATCTTTATTTCTAACATTTTTATATATATTATTCTAATTCTAATTCTTGTTGTTATAAATTATTATTATTATTATTATTATTATTATTATTATCATCATCATCATCATCATCATCATCATCATCACCACCACCACCACCACCACCATCATCACCACCACCACCACCATCATCATCACCACCACCACCACCACCATCATCATGTTATCTTAATGAATGCATTTAAGAAAAAAAAGTATTGTTATTTTTCAAATACAAAAAACTACATTTGCAAACAAAATAATTATATTATAAAATTAGCATAAATATAAAAATATTAATTTTTAAAAAGTTTTTGTGGTTACGTTGCACCTCAGTTTATTTATGTAGTATTTATTATAAATAATATATTTGTAATTATAATTTATATATTACAAGATTTTGTTTTAAATATCTGACATATCACATGATGTAATCAAACTTTTTTTTTCTTTCATGATTAATATTTTATTTTCATTGGAAGTCCTATTCTTGGAATAACGACATAGGACTTTTTTTTTACATTTTTTACATTTTACTCCTATTTTAGTATTTTTTCTCTAAATTATTTTGACTTTCAGTTTTTTTTTATAAAAATTAGAAAAATGAGAAAATTTTGAGTAATAAAGGGCAAGGTGATAGGTCTTATATAAAGTTATATTAATAAAAAATTTTATGTAACTATTTTATCCAGAATTTTTTAATATAGTTTAAAATATTGATGCTTTCCTGTTTTATCATGTGGACTAATATACCAAAAAGTTTTTTTATTCATATTAAAATGTTGAAGAAAAAGTAACGAGTGTAAATCATAAAAATAATGAGATGAAAAAAAATAATTTATAAACTATAGTTATGAACATAACAGTTGTAATAATAATAGTAACCGCATTAAAAATATATTGTTTTTAGAATAATTGGTTGGGAAGTAGAAAGAGTGAAGAAAATGAGAATACTTAGAAGAAACTAGAAGGAACTGGAAGAAACTAGAAGAAATTGAAATGAACGGGAAGAAACTAGAAGAAACTGAAAGGAACTCAAAGAAACGGGAAGTTAAAAATTTAAATCCTAAAATAAACATGCTTTAATTGTCAAGGAAGATAGCCTCGGAGAAACAAACAAGCTTGATTAATCTTTCAATATGCTCTTAGCATTTTCACGAACCGGCTCTAAATGTTCTTTAATGTGTTCGAGAAATTAGTGTTTTAAATTAACAACTCCGTATATGCTATAATACAAATGGGAGGAGCATATCATTAACCTTTTTTTGTTTACTTTTCTTAACAAGAATAAGTTAACAACTAGTTGAATCGGCAAATATAAACTGCTAATTGAACAGTTGTATGCCAAAACAACCCGAATGTCCATTTCTTGTATTTGCTTTGCTACACATCGAGCACAAAACTCCCATCATGTTATTATGTAATAATAATACATTGAAAAACTCACTCTTGAAATCCAGCCAGCATTTTTAGCCATTTATTCGTAAATTGAAAAACTAAGCTTAAGGCTTGATGGGATTTACTATATGTATTATTATTGTTACAGAGAAACCATCTTGATGGAGTTTGCCTTCTCCTGCAGGCTATCAATCAAGCTATCAAAGCTATTCTTGAAAGAGTCCACACCTTCAACCTCAAGACGGTCGCCAACGTACTTCCACTCAATGCCCAACTTCTCAATGGCGCTGTAAATGCCTTTGGCTTCAGATACGCTCGAGTCGATTGTCCTTGCAATGGTTCCGTGATCCATGAATGCTTGAAGAGCTTGATCCGGCATGGTTGAAACCTATATATATACAACAATGAAGAAAGACAATGCCATGTTAGGTGAACGGTTTTCTTTGAGAGCTTTTAACTGTTTCAACTCATGAAATTTAGTTGTAACTCGTAAGTACTATTATAAAAGGTAAAGATATGTGGTTGAAATTGATTCGAATATGATCCAAATTTTGGTGAATTGAAACTCCAGACAATGTGTTGTCTTTTTAAAGCTATTTGGAACTATTGAAGGTGCTTTGGTCAATTTTGGACGCTGTCGATGTGGAGGTTTTCGGGTAGAGTATGGTCCTATTACAAAATCTTCACAAAATTACATTAAGCATATATGATCCAAACTTTGATAAAATGAGATCCCGGATAATGTATGATCTTTTTAGAGCTATTCAGAACTATTATAGGTGATGAAATAAAGAGAAACAAATACTCCATTCATCCCTAAAAAACAAAGTAATATTTTTCAGACTTCCTCCAGTCCTACACCACAAATAACAATACGACATGAAAACTCACCGTGTCTGGTCCAATGAGAGGATCCACATACAGAGTGTCTGGATAAGCTGGATTCTTAACACTAGTTGATGCCCATAGAAGCCTCTGCTTCTTCGCACCTTTCTTCACCAGAGCCTCCCATCTTGGACCAGAAAATTTCTTCTGATACAACTGGAAAGCCATGGCAGCCTGAGCATTTGCAGCCTGTATTTGAAGTAAACAAGTAGAAGGTGGTATTTAGTGGGTAGTCTCCAACCAAGGAGTATCTGGAATCCACAATCAATTACCTTCCCACGAAGACCAAGAGCCTCTGGTGTTCCACTTTTCTCCAGCAATTTATCAACAAGTGTGTCTACACGACTAACAAAAAAGGAAGCAACACTTGTAACTTTGGAGAGATCATTTAGGCCAGAAGCTTCAAGACCATTCAGGTAAGCATCAATTACAGCTTCATATCTTGCGAGAGAGAATATGAGCTGTGCATATGCAGAAGTAAATTTAGTAAAAACAAAATCAAATAAAGGAGATTTTTGTTTTAAACATTACATTTAAATTTAACACAGATATAGGGGTTTAAAACCATATACGAACAGAGCTCCCAAAAATACTTTGATTTGAGAGTGATTTGAGATCCATTAAAAGAGATTTTACTTTGATTTATTTATTCCTTTACTTTATGTCAAGGAATCAGTTACCATAGGAGACTTATTAAAGAAAACACATAAAAAATGCACGAAGAGCTAATTAAAGGTTCAAGTTTTGGCGTTGTGAACAGATTTTTTTCTTCAACAGTTGATGTAGTCAACATATTATCGCTTGCAGTTATAGACATTTCTTGAATTTATTGAAAGGTAGAGTCACGAGAAGAGGAATTTACTTTGCAATCCAGTTAAGAGAATTGAAAAGTTAAAGAAAAACAATGTTAGGATCTTTCAACAATGTTTTGCTCTACAATGTCAAATGAAGATGCAAAACTCCACAATGTCATAGAAAGATGCAATATTGTTTTTAAAAAAGGTAGAATAAAATATAAAAACTCACCGTTACATTCACACTAATTCCATTTGCAATGACTTCCTTGATGGAAGCAATGCACGGGCTTGTAGCAGGAATTTTTATGTATACGTTTCTTCTGTCAACCTTCTGGTGAAGCCATTTTGCAGCCTCAACAGTACCTTCAGTATCATCAGCAAGTCTAGGTGACACTTCAACTGAAACATAGCCATCCCCTGCATTTGATTCATCATAAATTGCCTCAAAGAGTTTGCATGCATCTTGGATGTCTTTTACCACAAGTTCCCAATACAGGGTTTCAATATCTTTCCCGGCTTGTACAAGCTCCCTGATATGTACAATTGTGAAACTTAGCCTATTATAAAAGTATAGAATCTAACAAGGTAACAATTCATCAATTTCACTGTTATAAAGTTGGTGTAGTTGTAAGGGTAAGTGCTATTGGAACCACTCAAGTGTCCCATTGGGGGCCTAGCACCTTTTGCAACATGGATCCATTTGGTCGGTGAATTATCCATAAAAAAAACTTGGACTTGACACAATCATTGGGTCAGAGTGAGGTATCAGTGATCAGCTAATTCTGTGAATTTTGCTAGCTATTTTTCTGAAATCGATTTCACAAATGCTTTCTCTTTCAGAAAAATAAAATGCACCAATTCAAGCATATGAAGAGGATATAGCTTTATGGAAAATCTGGTCGAATAACCCTTACAAAATGAGCGTGATATTTAACTTACGTGAATTGATCATTGTAGGCATTTGAAGTGGATATAGCTTTCTGGAAAATCTGTGTACAGCACAATAAAAACTTACTATTACGAAGCTCAAATCAGGACCACAGCAAAAAGATGGATAAACTCGAGCTTAATGCCAAAACTAAATTTCATTTCACTTACATATTACTACTCTTGGAAAGTAAAAAGATGCTTATAAATGAAAGAAAAGTTTGGTCTTTTTTTTCATATTTATTTTATAAATAATACGGAGTAATAAATAAATAAACAAGAAGTTAGGTAGCATTTTACCGCTGGATTGCTGGTAACACCTCTAACACCGCTCTCAATCAATGGGATTAGATCAGTAACAGGACGACACAGGTTATCATACCATGGGCTTTGCCCTTGCTTCTCATACAGATCGTGAAGAGTTGTTCTCTTGATTGGGATTCCATTTCCTCCAGCCTGAGAGCATCTAACACTGTCAAAACAACTTAAATGAGTTTAAGGATTCCTCCACAGGTAAACTAAATGTAGTAAGGATGTCAAAGAGCAGGAAACCAAATGAAAACCCATATAAATATACAAACATTTTCCAATAAAATATTTAAAAGCAATTAGAAGTTGCATAAAACATAACTTAAACAGACTCAAATTTGAGAAACCTAGATAGCCTCACAAAAACAAGCAAAGTGAATAACCAAACCAAAGGGCAAATTCTCATTTAGGACAGGTAACCAATAGCTTGAAATTTGAAAATTCAAGTTTCGCTTTAAGATCAAAGAAGGAATCTTATACTGGCAAGTATTTAGGGCTAATGAACATACAACTCAGCAATTAAAACAAGTAAGAGAACATTAACAGATTCCAAAATCCATAATTTTTCATTCTATCCTACAACCAATATAGAAATAGTCTTTATGGGCATAAACGCATCCGGATTCATCCAAATTCCAAATTTTCGTAAGTTCGCTTCTTCATAAAAAAATACGGTAATAATAATCTATCAACTAGAAAATCAGAATTCAAGATCATATGTTTGAAAGGAATTAAGTATAAAAAAAACAAGCAAGAGCAACCTTCTGCGATCATCAACTAAGGAAGACCTACAAATTACAAGATTTCTCATGGAATATACTCATATAGTCATACACTAACAAAAAAAAAACGAACCAAGCATATCAGGATCAACAAGATATCAGACAAAGGACGCCATTTCAAGAGAAGACAACCCGATCACGCACACAAAATAGATCCATATACACTTGATGAACATAAATTTTTTTCTCCTTGCGGTGACTTACACGAGAGATCCCTTAGGAGAAGGCACGGCGCAGGTCAAGAGCTTAGAGGATGATATTCGAGAGGAGAAAGAAGGTCTAGTGCGGAAATCGAGGAAACATTTCGGAGCAGGTGATGAATTCCTGGAAGTGAAAGAGGTTGAAGATGAATATGCAAGGCTTGGATTGGAGAGCTTGGAAATAGTCGCCATTTCCAGAGTCGGATGCTCAGATTTTCGCCTTCTTTCAAAGTGCTGTTATGGATGTGGACCTTGTTAATAACGTCTTAAGAAGGAAAAGAAAAAAAAAGATCAATGGGTTGGTAGGTGTAGGCCGTGGAATTCGATTAGATAAGTTCTGACTTCTGACTCATTATTTACTCCGAAATTTGGTTGATGCTTCGAATGCCTATTACCTTTAATTATACACTAATATTTTAATAATCCATCCGTCAACAAATAAACTTCTCGTTGCGCGTTACGGTGTTTGACTGAAGTTATTTTCAAATGATTTTATATGAAAAATAGTGTAAAATTTAAAATTAAAAATTACATATTAAAAAACTATATCAAAAGATCTATAAAACTAGAGGTAACATGACTATATTATTTTATCAAATGAGTGATGAAAATATGCATACAAAGTAAATAAAATGTGACCCTTTGAATTGTGAACGGAAAGTTTATTTGTTGATGGAGGGAGTAATTCACAGTCACAGAATAGTAGTACTATTAAAATAATTATACAAGACAAATACAAGACACACAAATACTCAATATTTGTATACACATAGACACTCAATATCTATATACGTATAGACATTGAATATCAGTGTATATTTATGCTTGGAGCCTCCCTAGCACCACTCAGAATGTAATATAGAATTAAGATTTTTTACGACATTTATCTCTAAACTTTTTGAAAATTGCGTGTGTGAAAACGAGAGAGAAGAGAGAAATATTTGTTTATTATTTTGTTGTTGTTGTTGTTTACAAGAGATCTTCCCTGGAATGTGTAGAGTAGAAAATAGCCAAGTCCTATTGAAAAAAAATACCCCATACAAGGAAACACAATCAACTAAGGAAACCAAAAACAAACAATTAATTCCCAAAATTTGTTTCTTGCGCCACACGCATTTTCACGTGCAACACCTCCCCTCAAGCTGGAGCATGGAGATTTCGCATACCCAATTTGGATAGTAAATGAGCAAACAGACCAGCTCAGCTCCTAAAGGCTTAGTGAAATGTCTGTAGGTTGTTCGGTCGAAGGGATGTGGGTCGTACAAAGGATGCCACGTTAAATGTCATCGCGAACAAAGTGACAATCAATTTCATATAGAGAAATTTAGCTAAATAGCACTAAAACATAATGACTTTCTCTAATAGCACTACATGTATTTTTTCCCAATGTAGCACTTTTAGTCATTATCCATTAGTCAGTATTCAAGTAAATGTTTCCCATCACTGGTCATTATGGACATGATTAGGTGCTATTTAGGGAATAAAAGAATTTAAGTGCTATTTAGAGAAATGACTTAAGTTTTAATGCTATTTAGTGCAAATATTTCTTTCTTATATGTTTGGTACGCTCATGAAAAATAGGGTTAGCAGCAATGTGGAGGGCAGCTTCTTGGTTGTCACAAAACAAAGACATTGCTCTCGGGTGACAGATGCCAAGGGAGGGGAGGAGGGAACGCAGTCTTTTAAGTTTGCAAACCGTGGTCGCCATATCTTTGTACTCGGCTTCTACAGAAGAACATGACATCGTCTTTTGCTTCTTTGTATGCCACGAGATAGGAGAACCCCCTAAATAAATAAAACATCGAGTCGCCTAGTCAGAATCACAATAACCCACGAGCTGAAGTGGACCAGCGGCCGAAAGGAAAAGGCCTTGCCCCGACTGTGCTTTGATGTAGCGTAGGGTATGAATTGCGACATCCCAATGATCACGACATGGACTTGCCATGATTTGAGATAGAATATGCACAACATAAGTACGATGTGTCCGAGTGATCGTGACATAGATGAGACGACCGAGCATGCCTCAATACTGAGAAGGATCGGCTAGAAGAGGGTCGTCGGCCAAGGCCAGCCGATGGTTGGCGGGGAGAGGAGTAGCAGTGGGCTAACAACCCAAGTGACTTATGTCAGAGAGATTATCTAGTGCATATTTCCACTGAGGAAGGAATAAACCAGTAGAGTTACAGGCAACCTCAATGCCCAAAAAATACTTGAGGAGCCCCATATCTTTCATGTGAAAGTATTCAGATAAATACAGTTTTTAGCGGGAGATAAAAGATTCATCATTACCGACGGTCACCAAATCATCCACATATATGAGGACTCGAAGCTCAACCGAGCCTTGCACAAGAGTGAATAGAGAATTGTCTACCTTAGATTGTGTGAATCAATATGAACGGAGGGCAGTGGTGAGCTTGGAAAATGAACAACGAGGTGCTTGACGGAGCCCATAAAGAGACTTATGTAAGCGGCATACCAAACTTTGTTGGCGAGATGCAAACCCTGAAGGGAGCCACATATAGACCTCATCTTTGAGATTTCCATGAAGAAAAGCATTATGAACGTCCATCTGATGAAGGCTCCATTGAAGAGCAGCGGCCATAGTAAGGAGATCGAACACGAATAGTCACCAATTTTGCAGTTTGAGCATATGTTTCTTTGTAGTCAATACCTTTTTTCTGGCAATAATTCAGAATCACAAAGCGGGCTTTGTAGCGTTCAATGCTTCCATCAGATTTTTGTTTGGTTTTGTACACCCCCTTCGAACCATTAACCTGTAAGGCATCAAGTTCATCCTTCATTGCCGACTGCCAGTGTGGATGCTTTAGTGCTTCTGAAAACAAAGTCGGTTCCTCATCTGCATTAATTGCTACCAAAAAACTTGTATGGGAAAAAGAAAAGTTATCTTAGTTAACAAATTTTGTTATGCAATGAGTTGTACCTGAAGAGGGGAGTGGAGAATATGTGCAAACTGAGGTACTTTGAATGGTGTGCAAGACAAAATCTTGTAGTTGTGACAGGGAACAATGATCTCGCGCACCACGACGCTGACGGTCGGGTTCTAGGGACTGAGGGGCTTTGTTTTTTGGGGGGTGGTGGGTTTTGTGAAGGGTTCGGTTTCTGTGGGTACATGATCAGGTTTGGTTATTGAGTTGGATTTAATTTGTGTTGGTATAGGTTCGGTGGCAGTTTTATGTGGTTCGGTGAAAGTGGGTTGGGGGGATTGGACTAGTGTACGATGGTTTTGGGCGGAGATAGCGGGTATGGGTTTGTCGTCAAAGAACTCGAACGATATTGATGGTGGATCGAAGGTGTCGTCCAGGAGAGAGACAAAGTGAAAAGTGGTTTCAATAAATTTGACGTCCCGACTGACAAATATTTTCTTGGTTTCGAGGTCCTGCAATCGATCACCCTCCCTTTTGACAAAAAAGGATATCCAAGAAAGAGACAACGATGCAAATGAGGGGCGAATTTATCATCATGGTGAGTTTAGTTATGGGCATATGCTAAACAACCAAAGGTGCGAAGATGAGAATATGAAGGTTCTTGACCGAAAAGAAGAGTATAAGAGGTTTTATCATCAAACAACGGGATAGGGGTGCGATTTATAAGATAAGAAGCAGTAAGGTCACCCCAATAAGAGATAGGAAGATTTTGCTTGCAACCACAATGCACGTGCAACATTGAGGATATATGTATGTGCTTTGGTTCGACCCTCCCATTTTGTTGGGGAGTGCCAACACAAGAGGACTCAAAAATTATTCCTTCGGAAGTGATTTATAGTTTCATGCACGTGAACTTCATTCCATTTTCATTACGAACCCTTTTGACTTTTGTATGAAATTGACGATGTAAAAGAGAGAAAAAAATACGGACGCCAGATGTTTCATCTTTATGAGTTAAGACATAAACCCAAGTTGCACGAGAGAAATCATTCGCAATACGACTTTATTATCATTCATTTTTTTAGTTTATGAAATGCTCCGCATAAATTAAGTTTTAATAAGTATTTCATGCATTTAATTATTGATTTTTTGTTTTTTTTAATGTTTTTTATTTAAATGTACTTTTAATTTTAAAAAATAAAAGGGGTTGTTACATTTTAAATTATAAATTAGTTACGTATATATTCATCCCAATTTGTATCGAAACCTAATTACCTGGAATCATACTAAACCGTTATTTCAAGATCGAAATCGATACATTGCAAAATTAAAATTTCATACCAAACCAAAATATTTGATAAACTATTAGTACAACTTAAATATGGTACCATACCATAGTACCATTCAATGCTCACCCCTATTTTCACCAATAATGCTATAGCAATCAATGCTCACCACTATTAGTATTTCTTTGTGCTTATAAGTTGGTCAAAACTGTTTATAAGTTGTTTTTTTCTTATAAGTAAACAGGTGACGTATTTATGTGTGCTTATAACCTAACTTATAACCACATTACTTACCATCTTTTCCTTCACCCATTATCAATATCCCAAATGAATTATATACGGAGTATCATTTAAATCATTTTATCTATACAAAATAATTTTTTTTATTTATAAGTAACTTATAAATTAAAATCTATTTATAATGTAATAAATCAATAAGCAGCACAAACAACCTGAACCAACGCGAATAACCTGAACCGTCCAGTTAAAAGCATTAGGAGTATCCCGTATTTTTTTTAATTGAAAAATTCGAAACTGAATTGCAAAATCTAACCGATTTCCGGTTTACGTGGCTGTCTTCACCTCTGATATGGGATTGGCCGGGAAATGGGGCCCGATAGCGGCGGTGGCTGGGATAGCGGTGACGGCGAAGGTCTTGAGCAAGCAGTTTGGATGGGAGCTGAACAAAGACGCCGCTCTCGATTGGTTCAGACAAATGTCGGATCGGCTCGGGTTCTGGGCGATCCCGGTCTACGTCGGCCTCCACACCGTCACGCTCGCACTCTGCCTTCCATACGCCATCTTCTTCGAGGCCGGCGCTTCTATCCTTTTCGGATTCTTTCCCGCCGTCTTGTGCGTCTTCTCTGCCAAGCTTCTTGGCGCCTCTCTCTCTTTCTGGATCGGCAGGTGTATATCTCTCTTTCTCAATTTTTCAATTATTCACTTTGATGTTTGAAGAGAGACCTTGATTGACGTGTTTTTGGCTCAATTCGCAGTTGATTGTTCCGAATTTATTCGATTGTGTTATTTGTGTATGGGTATTGCATTGATTTTTTTTTTTTGTGAAACTCAAACATTTTGTCAAAAGTTACAGTTGGATATTCGAGGATAAGAAGCTAAGAGAAACCTCTATGCTGTGAATTACTCTTTATGGAATGTGAAATTCTAATGTGTTTTGTTTTTGTGTATCAGAGGGAAATGACAATTTGTACCAATTGTTAACTGCTTCATTGTGTTGCATTTTGTTCTGTGGTTTTCACTTTCAGCTCTTACTTGTATAGCCTTGTTCATTGCCAATTGAGCTAAAAGAGTCATTACTGAATGTTTTAGCTTTGGGGAAATTATGGCCTAAATCAAAATGGCACATTAATTTAACTAAGCAATATGATTATAGTGGTAATAACTTCTCTATTTTTTAATGAAGTAAGATTCTGTACATCTTGACCCTCACACCCAAAAGATTTGGAGTTATAATGGGTTTTGCTGTTGTTTTATTCCGGTGTTTCCTCTTGGTCGAAATTTCGAACACTGTGGTATGATATCTTTGAGAACATTGGCTTGTACAATCTCTATAATTACTTCCCTTATAGCTTTGGTGTACCAATTCAAATTGAGAGCAGATATTCTTCTATGCGCGTTTGCTCATGCTTGTTAGATATTTATCATATGATGTTCCATACTTCCATGTTAAAATTTCTTTTGTCAATTAAGCGGTCAATCATGAATTTAATATAATCCCATGTTAGGTAACTCTGAAAACAGTCCCCCTACCATTTATTGGTAGAGGTAAGGTCTACATACACCCACCTCCTGAACCCCACTTATGGGACTTCATTGGATAGATTGTTGTTGTAGACTTGTAGGTAGCTGGAACAAGGATGGTATGCTTAATCTTTCTAGTCTAGTTTGCAAGTCTTTTTGTTTCTTATTAAAAAAAATCCACTCCTTTTTTATTACAAAATTCACAAATCTTGTTTTAACTTTCAATTTCTTCATTCAGTCACGTCCTTTGGTAATTGAAACAATCATAATTTCTATTCATTCAGCCTCAAAAATCAAAACGCTAATTTGTTCTTTCCATGTCAGTGGCAATCATGCATGATGCATGGTATTTCAATCACTATAGCATACCGATCATACGCATGACACATCAACATAGTTTGGTACTGCTGCCAGCATGGCCCTTATCTGCCCAAAATATATTTATGAATATGCTCGGTAGGTTGTGATGTCATTATGCTGGCCCAGACGTGCAAAGCACAACTCAGCGGTTAACAGAGGCAATCTGATATACGGAGGAATGAACTAGAGAAACTACAATTGCTACAAGTATCAAAATCCAAATTTCATTTGATAAAATTGAATGTCTAAACTGAATTTGTAATTTTTTTTTAAAATTTAGAGTATGGAGATATATAGTAGTGTGCGTTTCCTTCCCACAATATTAATGTGTATAACAACCCCCTCACATCTCTCTGATGTGAAAAATGAAAAATCTATGCAATATTTGACTCTCGGGCACAATCACTTGTTCAGCTATACCTGAATACGGAGTATATAAGTAAACCAATATACAAGGCATTTAAGTACTCCTATTAGGTTTGATATTTTAGGACGGACCCCTCGATCTGGGCCTTATGACCCCCAGCCTTATCGCTGTTTCATGCGCTGCATTTTGTTTACTCTTCATAATTGCATCCCCATTGACACTGATATAGTGATATTGCTCCTTTCGCAGGCTTCTGTTTATGAAATCTAGCTCTGCCGTGAACTGGGCCCACAACAACAAATACTTCAATGTGCTCTCTAGGGGGCTCGAACGGGATGGATGGAGATTTGTTCTTCTTGCTCGCTTCTCACCCATACCCTCTTACATTATTAACTATGCACTAGCCGCCACAAGAGTTAGGTTCGTTTTAGATTTCCTTCTCCCAACTGCGGTTGGCTGCCTTCCTATGATCTTACAGAACACATCCATTGGAAGTCTTGCTGGTGCTGCTGTTGCTTCTGCATCTGGTGGGTCCCATAAATCTCGTGTCTCGTCTTATATCTTTCCCATTCTTGGTATCTTGTCCAGCATTCTCATCTCATTGAGGGTAAAAAAGTACTCCAAGGATATTGTTGCTGCTGATGAAGGCATTCCAAGCGATGACAGGGACACCGATAAATCTGTCCGGTCTAGTGTAATGACAGGTAGCACGAAAGTGAGCAGAATCAAAGAAAGAGATGAAAGATGAGCCTTTTGACTTCACTACGTCGCTAATCATTCAGCGTTTTTTAATTACTTTTTTTCATTATCATATGATGATTGCCATAGGTTAGTTTGAAGCAATTGTGCCAAGGAAATTAGCAACACAGACCACGTCTTCCTTCTGTTTTCATTTACCTTTTCTTTTGTGAGGAATATGGCGATCTTCGTCCATGTATTTTATAGACATGCCAATCATTTTAGTCATTTTCTTTAAACGTAATCTCTCGGGGTAGAATTTAGGTCCATGTTCATGATGAGAATACATTACATATAGTCAATTTTCTCATTTTATAAAAGATGTTGCTGCAAAAGTATTTATGGCCCGTTTGGTGAGTTTTCAAGGTATGATAAAATATGAGTTTTGAAATATTGAAGACATAATATGAGCTTTGAAATCTGAAACGAAATTGTTTGGAGAGACTTAAAATCATGTTAGTGATAGGTGGGTGACCGACAACGGGGGTGGTTGGCGGTGACAGCCGGTGCGGAGAATTGTCAATGGTTGGAAGAAATATCAAACTCTCATGTTGATATCTTCTAATCTCGGGAGATATCGAAACCCTCAATTTTGAAGATTTATGTTATCTGAAGATATCAAACTCAATACTTATTTTATCATTACCAATCACTAATTTTTCTCGATATTTAGAGATATCAAAACTATATCTCTTTTGATCACCAAAGACATCCTTAATAAATGTCTCGTAGTCTATGGTGGCTCATCTTACTTCTAAATGGATGGCTCAAGGTCTTGCTAGTGCTGCTGTAGCTTCTTATTGCGTTAATCCCACACTTAGAAATGCACTATCTTGGGCTTAAAAGATGCTGTGGTCTGGAATAATGCTTTACTTTGTTAAGTCCTCTGGAACACTACTGCGAAAAAAGATACTTTATAGGTTAGATTGCCCTATAATGTTTACCTCAAGAACGAAGATGTTTGGACTTGACAACCTGGAAAGAGACATATTTATTTTTTAAAGGCTAACCTATGTAAGTGGGTTCCTCAACAAAAAACTTGGTGACCAGATTTTGTGGGTAGTTGCTATGCAACCATTTTGTGACAATGGTAAACTACTCATGGGTAAGATCTATGATTTACTTAGGGCAAAGGCCAATAACCTTAAGCTTTGGATGATGTGGTAACCTTTTATTCCTCCAAATGCTCTTTCACGATGTGGCTATCTCCTAGTAGGAGAGTGCCCACCAAAATACATAAAACTTCTATAGAACAAGATGTAACAAAAATATTTTATTTTATCAAATTAATAATAAAAGTACACAAATAATAAAAAATTATTTAGAGTTAAGAAGAGTAAACGGGAAGTTATTTTCTGAACGGAGAAAATGTTTATTAATGCTCAAAGTGTGTAGAAGAATTGGCTTTAAAAATCAAAATCTAGAAAAGTATTGTGAGACGGAAATGATATACGTAGTATATGATATGATGATATAAAAATTTGATAATAAATGAAAAGTATGGAAAAACTAAACTAAGAATAAAACATAAATAAAATAATAAAATAAGAGCTCAACATGACGAAGATAAAACAAATAAATTATTAAAATAAGAATGTTTAGTTATCCAGATTACTTAGACTCAACATGATGAATATTCACACGAGTTCGAGTTTAGTAACCCAAATGATGGGTCATTAGATCTAATAAATCATGCATACAGGTTAAAATCTATTGTTTTATTGGGGTCGTGTCGAATTTTGCGTTCTAGCTCAAATCCCATAAATAGGCTGGCTTAACGTAACTATGAGTCCACGATGCTTTTAACCATGATTATTATATTGAATAATAAAATAATTCTATTAATAAAAAAATAATGAAATACATGAAAGAGTATGTATAGAGGAGATCATAACCTTTACTAGGATTAGGAATCAATAATAGAACCGGACTAAAATACAGAGACTATTATAATTAATACTACCATAGTAATAATAATTATTGTCTAATAGCCCCTCAAGGTGAACTCATGTCACGAGTTGAAACATGGAAACAAGAGCTTGGAATCACGGAGAAGATAAAGTCTTGATTAGTCAGTGTGCTAGAAGTAGCGAGACATATATTCGTTGTGTAACGAACAAGCTTCATAGTGCATGTGATGGATTTTTTTCAGAAGAGTCTTTTTTCTCCTTTTGGGTCATTTTTTGCTCCTATATCGCTTTTCATGCTCTCGAACACTAGAAGAAACACATACTGATGTAGTTTTCACGCTCTTCGATCATGCACAAGATTTTTTAAAGAGAACGAGAGATAAAAGACAGCGGATGTTAAGCAGACTCATAGTTTTTGAAAAGAAAGAGATGGATAAAATAATGGACGGCGAGGTCATGATCTGTCGCAATTGACTGTCGACGATGAAGACCGGCGGTGGCGCATGGTCGTAAAAGATGCGAGGCTAGGCTTTTTTAGAAGAGAGATAATCTTATCTCAGATACCATATCGAATAATGGAACAATTATATTATTCAAGGAATAATGGAATACATAGAAGAGAGGCTTGATAGGGTCGTGGCTAATGGCACTACTACAAAAACGACCAAATAAATTGCCCTATTTGCATCGGTCAGCGGAATAAACGATTTAAAAGCTAAAAAAATTTTCCAACCTGTTAGCATTTAAATCGGTTATTCCTAATAACTGATGCAAAAGGGTATTTGCATCGGTTATTTGGAATAATCGATTTAAATACGTAAACCCTTTTAAATTGGTTATTCCTAATAACCGATGCAAATACCCTTTTGCATCGGTTATTAGGGATAAGCGATTTCAAAAGGATGTTAAATCCAGCCTCTAGTACGTTATCCTTACGCGATTTTGAAAAAAAACCTCTAAAGCTTCAATTCGCCGTCAACCCTTCGCCCCCATCTCTTCCGTCGTCGTGTCGTCGCCGTGTTCCTCGCCGCGCTGTGCCTCGCCTCCTATACCCTCGTCGTTCCGTCGTTGTGCCTCACTCGAGTCTCGCCCTTCGTCACCGGTTGCTGCCGCCACCCTTTCACATTTTTAAGGTATTTTTTTTTCTAATTTTTCACTTTAAATCTTTAATTATACTAATATTTATTTTGTATTAGGTGAATATTTTTTCTAAGTGGTAAGTATAATTTTAAATTTATTTCGATGTATTTTCTCTAATTACTATATTTTTGAATTGCTTTTGTGTTTATGTTTAAGTTGAGGTGTGACATATAGATTGTTTAATTATTTTTTGTTTGATTCTACATGATCTGAGATATTATAATATAGAAATAACATATATTGACCGACCTAGATACCCATTTAAAATTTACTCATTAGGAGTTAATTTTAAATAGCTCCTAGTTTAGAGCTATTCTTGAAATGCTTCTCTCACTTAGGTAGTGAATGTATTTCTTTTTCTTTGTTTTATCATTTTTTTGTTTTGACGTTTCCTAAATGTGTTCTTCAGGTGCATATGTAACTACATTACATCGTGCACTTGAAGAACCAATGGTAAATGCTGCCAAAATTTTGATAGATCAAAGAAAATGAAATAAATTTACTAGTGGAGGTGACATTTCAAGAATGGGTTAAGATGAAGTAAAGAAGGACCATTTGTATAATGAAGAAGTGCTGCCGGATTTTTGTTACATCATAAGAAATAAGTAATTGTGTTGCTTGTATTTCTTATATGTATGTGTGTATGTATGTATGTATGTATACACACACACACACACACACACACACACACATATATAGGGATTGACTCCAATCAGATGACACCTTACGGTGAGATGAAATGCTACGGTCAGATGACACAAAGCTCACCACTGGCCAATGCAAAGCTCACCAATGACAACTACAAAGCTCACCAAACTCTAAGGCAAAGCTCACCATATTTTTGCAACACTTTGAATTTTTTTTTGAAAAAAAAATTCAAAGGAAGTGGTGCTGACTCGACTTTGACCATTGACCGTTGACCATCACCGGCGACCCCCTGCCGCCGCCGACCACCGCCACCGCCGACCGCCGCCAGACGCCGTCGACCTCCGCCGCCAACCACCGTCGGTCTCCGCCGCGCCGCCGCCGCTGACCGGTGGTTGACCGGTGTTGCTATTTTATTTTTTATTAATTTTTTAATTTTCAAAATTAAAAAAAGGTGAGTTTTGGTGTTCAAAGTGGTGAGCTTTGCTTTATTCCCAGGTGAGCTTTACATTGGCCATGGGTGAGCTTTGCAGTATAATGTGGTGAGCTTTGCATCATCTCACCGAAGCATGTCATCTTACCATAAGGTGTCATCTCACTGGAGTCAATCCCATATATATATATATATATATATATATATAGGGATTGACTCTAGTCAGATGACACCTTACGGTGAGATGACATGCTACGGTCAGATGACACAAAGCTCACCACTGCCCACTGCAAAGCTCACCAAGGACAACTACAAAGCTCACCAAAGTGTAAGGCAAAGCTCACCATATTTTTTCAACACTTTGAATTTTTTTTGAAAAAAAAATCAAAGGAAGTGATGCTGACTGGACTTTGACCATTGACCGTTGACCATCACCGGCGACCCCCTGCCGCCGCCGACCTCCGGCCGCCGCTGCCGGCCGCCGGCAACCGCCACCGCCGGCTGCCGACCTCCGCCGCCGCCGACCTCCGTCGCTGTCGTCGCCGGACTCCGGCCGCCGCCGCCGACATCCGCCGGTCGCCGGCGACCACCTCCGCCGCCGCCGACAACCGCCGCCGGTCGCCGGCGACCACCTCCGCCGCCGCCACTGACCGGTGGTTGACCGGTGTTGCTATTTTATTTTTTATTAATTTTTTAATTTTCAAAATAAAAAAAAGGTGAGTTTTGGTTTTCAAAATGGTGAGCTTTGCCTTATTTCCAGGTGAGCTTTACATTGACCATTAGTGAGCTTTGCAGTGTAATGTGGTGAGCTTTGCGTTATCTCACCGAAGCATGTCATCTCACCATAAAGTGTCATCTCACTGGAGTCAATCCCATATATATATATATATATATATATATATATATATATATATATATATATATATATATATATATATATATATATATATATATATATATATATATATATATATATATATATATATATATATATATATATATATATATATATATATATATATATATATATATATATATATAGACGGGGTGTCGTTGTGTGGTGTGAAACCGAAACCGATTACCCGAACCGAAATATCCGAAACCGAAACCGGAATTATCCGAAAAATGAAGATCCGATCTATAACCGAAAACCCGAAATGATCCAAACCGAACCGAAACCGAACTAAATAATTCATATCCGATTTAAATCCGAAACCGATTAAATCCGAAACCGATTAGATCCGGATTCGATAATACCCGAAACCGATAAAATCCGAAACCGATTAGATCTGAAACCGATAATATCCGAACTCGATTAGAACTAAAATCGATAAATTCAGAACTATGTTTACCTTTCAATAAGCATATTATATTTTTAATTTTTCACTTTTATTTTACTATTTGAACTAGTTACATTACTTGCTCATTCTCTTATAAAATGGATTATCTTCTTGAAAAAAAAGTACAAATTTTTATGCCTTAAATTTATTATATGTAGAAATTAAAGATAAGTTATACATATAAATGATAACACACAAACAAATAAAATTTCCGTAATTTTTAAATAGTGAAGTGTGATATTCTTTTTGGGACGAAAGGAATATATATATGATGAATTGTATGGAATAATTAGATTTTATCCTAATTTCATCTCATTATAATAAATTTTATTGATTTGAGAGTTAATTTGATTAGTTTCAAACCAATTCACTCAATATTAGTCAATAAAATTAAATATTAGTGTTATCATTTTGAAAAGACTCTCTAGCGGTAGCCTTTACTGTTATCATTTTCAAATTTGATCTGCACCATTACATTTAGGTGTAAAATTAATTATATTTGACTCTATTAAATTTAATTTTCTCTATTTTCAACCAAATATACTCAACAATTTACAAATTTTGCACTCCATTGAATAAAATTCACTTAATTTCACCCAATTTTACTCAACTTTTACCAAATTCTATTCAAATGGAACATAAGACTATTTGAATTTATCTTTTATCCTTTCATTTATATACATAAGTATATTAGTAGATGTGAGAAAATTTTTATATTTCAAAACTAAATTTTAAAATCAATTTAATTATATTAAATTTATATCATAATTAAATATATATGTTTTCTTTATTTGTAGTCCAACTTTGTAAAATATGACTAAAAAGTCAAAAGGGGAAAATTAGAAAATACAGAGTAATATATATCCAAAATATATTTGATCCGAAACCGAAATATATCCGAACCGAACTAGACCCGAAACCGAAATGTATCCGACTCAAATTGTATTCGAACCGAAATCTATCCGAACCGATTTATAACCGAACCGTATCTGAACCGACTCGAAACCGAACTGAACCGAAAAATGTATAGAATCGAAATCAAATCCGAACCGAAATTTAACCGATCTGAACCGAACCGAACCGATTATAACATATAACCGAAAGATATCTGAACCGAAAAAATCCAACCCGAAACCGATCCGGTTGATCCGATTGCCACCTCTACTGGCGACCCCCTGCCGCCGCCGACCACCGCCACCGCCGACCGCCGCCGCCGACTGCCGCCACCGACCTCCGCCAGACGCCGTCGACCTCCTCCGCCGACCACCGTCGGTCTCCGCCGCGCCGCCGCCGCTGACCGGTGGTTGACCGGTGTTGCTATTTTATTTTTTATTAATTTTTTAATTTTCAAAATTAAAAAAAGGTGAGTTTTGGTGTTCAAAGTGGTGAGCTTTGCTTTATTCCCAGGTGAGCTTTACATTGGCCACGGGTGAGCTTTGCAGTGTAATGTGGTGAGCTTTGCATCATCTCACCGAAGCATGTTATCTTACCATAAGGTGTCATCTCACTGGAGTCAATCCCATATATATATATATATATATATATATATATATATATATATATATATATATATATATATATATATATATATATATGNTTTTATATATATATATATATATATATATATATAGACGGGGTGTCGTTGTGTGGTGTGAATATATAAATTCCTATTTTCCAACTCCTACTTTTTTCCAACTTCCTACTTCTTTCAATTCCTTGTAGTTTGTTTCAATATCCAATTTTGAAATTCTAATACAAAAGAACATAGTTTAAATATCATAGGTTATACTTTGTAACAAAAATCACGTAATTATAGCAATAATGTTTCACCGTCCACCAAAAGTTTCACAGTTTGCCTTTTTACGTGAATTAAGAATACTATTTAAACCTAATAAATATAACTTTATGATTTTATGGTACATTAAAAATAAATTTATGTAGATAAAAAATATGTTCACATTCATTCATTTTTCAATTTATGATAAAAGTCTTATGAAGTAATACACAATTGACAGGATGTAGAATGGAGCTGAAGGTGGATACTGTAATACTCCATTCGTCAAGATATAGATTACGTTTTGCTAATGACTTTTTCACTTGGCATTTTAATCCGAAAAGTCAAAATTTGAACGATCAACAAATGCATCCTGTTGGTCAAACCAACTAAACTAACTAGTTATTCACAACAGCTGACACGAACTGCTAACAGCCAACATCCAAACAAGGTCATAATCTTTCCATTCAACTTTCATGGTATCGAATGTATCACTTTGACTATTAATGTCAAAATCTATACGTACATATTTGATAAAAATTAGTTTTAAGAAACTACGTTTCGAAAGGAAATTATTAATTTTAAATCTATATAAATATTTTTTTTCTTCATATCGAAGGCAAAAATTTACAAATATTGACCTAGAAAATTCAAATGAGAAGATAATTCAAAGAATTCTAAAATTAAACTAAAATACTAATGTCACTTATTCACTCTTTGTCTTTTCATATACTTGACTTTGGATAAAGTTAGGGTGCCACCATATGTGCTCTTACAAAATGAAGGACCACCCGCACGGGTAACCCAAGTGGCAAGCACTTGGTGAAGTTTGGAGAATGACCAAGGATCGAAATCTGGCAGCGACCGTTGTGGAGGCGACCACCTCTGAAAAATGGGGGGAGTCTCTGGTGCGCACTAGGATATGGTCTAGCTAAGTGTTGTGCTTGGGTCACCGACACCGTGACTCCTCTCACATTCCCGTCGGGTCGGGGGTGAGGGGCGCCCGGGGTGAGCGATTTCACCTTTTGGATAACAAAATGAAGGATCATTTGAAATCACCTATCATGATTCATGAATATGACTAGTCTTGATAGGTCATGTTGTCTTCATCTGATCTGATTGGTATATACTTTGATCTGGTCAACTAGTCTGAATGTAGTTATTTTTGTAAAATTATTTTTGATTTGATACTAATAAGAAAAAGTAATGAATAATAAATAATTAGTTTAATTTTGAGCTTTTCAAACTTTAGAATATACAAAGAGGACCTAAGGTTTGCATATCTTAAAATCAACCTTATCATGTTCTATCAATTAGTTTCAGTTGATAGTCATATGTACGATTGTTTCTCCACGGCGAAGCATGAAAGCTCATCATCCGATTGAACTAGCAAAGACGGTGTTGGAGGTGGCCGACGTGGCATGGACCGCCGTGGAATGCTGTCACCACTATCACCGGGACGGCCACAAGGAGGCGCAGTTGCCACCGTCGCTGGAATCGAACAGAGTAGATGGGGATTTAGAGGCCTTGCGATCTGAAAACCAACGCCTCAGGCAACTGCTTGAACAAAATCTTAAACTTCTACGGCCTGTTTCACAATCTCCTAAATCATTGCAAGATTTCCCTTCTGATGTATGTACTTTAATCGCAAAAATTTAAGATTTTGTTGGTAATTAGAGCATGAATTGGACGTGTATTTACTTTCATCCCATAAGAAACAGATAGTTAAAAATTTTCAGAAAACGTTTGTTGTTTCTCTCTAACGAGTTCTATCATCTCAATTCCATTGAGTTTTAGCTCTATGATAGGCTAACTGCTGCCGTTGAGTCTGGAAACTTCTTGAAACAACTGGAATTTATGAACACAAATTCAGTACCAGATGATGCTTGTAAATTTCCTTTCAATGAGGAATCAGGTCGGACTTTTATTCTTTTCTCTTCCTCTGTTATTTTTTCTTTTTTGTAAAAACATTCTGGAATGTCATCATTCTATAGATTTTGGGTGCTGAGTTATTCACAAATAAAGGAGTCCAGCTTTCTTATTTTTTTCATCAGTTATCCGAGCTATAATCTTTGATTAATTTGTTTAGAATTGAATGTGGAAGCAGCTGAAGTTTTGATTAAGATGGATCATGAAGAACCAAGTTGGTGGGTCTGGGTGACAGATGATATGGTTCCCAATAACGTTGAGGAAAGGAGTGAAATTGATCATGACAATTATGTGATTGTTAATGAGGATCTGGTTGTAGATGCCATTGCAACCTTCATGGCAAGATGCATTTTGTCCAACAAGAAAGCCCAGGTAACTGCAATACTGGAGACCTCCTTGATTTTTACCTGTAGTAACTGGTTTACGGTGCCATATGTTTTACTGTGTTAGTGTTTTTCATAATTGCAGAACATGACTCCCCAGCAGCTGCAAAAGAGTAAGTTTACACTTCAGTGTTAGTTTTTTAAAATAGTCTGCTAAAAAATGCAGTGCAACATACACGACGTATGGCTTGAGCATCTATACCTCACAGCACCATCAGTGCTTTAAAGCTCAGAGCAGACATGCTTCTTTGATCGGGAATCAGTGGTATAATCTTTTAAAAGTGTTGTGTGTGATTGGCAGTGCAGTTGACTCGTTCACTGATTTGACACAGTCAAATCGCTGGTTCAACCAACAAACCTAACCTAGTTTTGGCTCAATATTAAACCAGCTCTTTTACTAACTAGGCGAGAAATACACAATAAGAACTGAAATATATTGTCTAACATTAGAGTTGAACACTTGATGACACAAGAAATTCTTCCACCCTAGTACTCTACCAACCTAAGTTGCACCTAGACGGGGGCGGGTATTTGTTTATCCAGGGACGGGGTCGGAAACGTGGAACCACCAACTTTTCGAAGTTTTATAAAGGAATTGAGTGTTGGTCATCAGGACGTTCCAAGTACCAAAACGTGGACGTCTTGGGGACGGGAAGCGGCACCTATATGAAGAATCAGTGCAACATAGCTACCAACTAAGCGTATGAAAGTGAGTGGTTGATATTCAAGTTAAAAAGTATGGTTTCACTGTATCAGACAAAATTAGGGGGATAAAACGAAAAAGAGAAATGAGATAGAGGAAGCACGGAGTATATATTATGGAGTATTAAAATGCCAAGTGTTGGTATGAACCTTATATGAGATAAATGAAGTTATGTGTTCAAATTTCAGGCCAGCATTTTTCATGAAGTATTGAAAACTTTTGTCTCAGATATCTGGTAATATAACAGGTCAAACAAGTAACAAAGAGCACTATTAGTCTAAGTAGTTGAGACTCTCTTCTTGAATAATTTAAGAGGTCATTGGATCGAATCCACCCAACATCTATAATTTCTGATTTTTACAAGGAAAAAAATATCCAAAAACCAGACTGGTTGATCAGAACCTGTAAAAACCATCTGTTCCAGGCTGGTCGAGTGCCCCCTACCAGACCTACAATCGAGTCATGCTGTTCAATAGTGATGCACCAGTTTGACAATGCTTGAGAAGGAGAAATTAATGGAATGAACCAGGATTAAGCAGAGGCACACGCTCTCTACAGTTAAAAATTCATTTGAGCGTGTTCACATAGGGAAAGGGATTCAGAGTATACAATTATTTGTGTGTGCGCGCACACACACACACACACACTCACCGTACATTAGCATATGTAATTAATTGCAGTAGTTAGTTCTATAGCAGCACTAGTAAGATGTACTTGGTATGTTGTCACTGTTAAAGTTAAAACAATTCTCCTTCACATTGCATTTTCTTCATGTTATCTATTGTTTCCATGACATGAACTTGAAAATGCAGCCTTGACAAAAGCACTGGGTGGCATGAACAAGTTGGAGACAATGTTCAACATTTGGAGTGCTGGAAAGTTGATTTATGCATTCTCTACGTGGGGACTCGCTCTTGCAGGGTATGTTTTTAAGCTTTTGAAGTTATATTTCTTCATTGTTCTCTTATTCATACTTATATTCCGATGTCAGTCTTTTTTTTATAGCAACTATTCCTTGCTTGCTCGAATTGTAAAATTTTTCAAAAATACTTTGATTTGATAAATTTCTGAATAAAACCAAACATTCAAAGAACCTACGTCTAGCCACATTTTCGTGAAAGCAGAATTTAACTCCAAATGACTTTTTCTTCAGAACCAGAAAGATTTGACCAATGCAAGTGAGCTGCTTATGTGTATTTACTGGAGTTCTTTTGCAGGTTGTACAACACTCGAAGAGTTTTAAAACTTGCTGCTGTGGGCGTTCATACAACCAGCAAAGTGGTTATGAAAGCTCTTTGAGCTAATAGAATGGCATGTGTAAATAATGTATATTATTTGAACTTTATATTGTCAATACTATTAAAGATTGTTTATTCTTGGAAATGGCAATCTTATTCCCCATAATTGTAAACTTGAATATTTGCATCATTGTAATTAAAATGGCTGTCACTAATACTTGGCAATGCAAAATAGAAGTCTATTGATTTCAAATGAGATAGAAGTGCCTTTTTTTAGTTTCACCACTCTATTTTATTTGTTGTCACCCTATATTTGATTAAGTGCATTTTAAACTTGAGACATCATGTCTCATAAGTGTTAAATATATTCAATATTGTTTTTATGTTGATTACTTTGTGAGCCTAACGTTATTTATGTTAGGACTAGCATGGTCGCGATCTTGGCAGAAGTCTGTGACCCACCTCCTCGCCATGTTCGTCGTTGACAACAGCCCGTTCGGTGGGAACTCAACCTCCGCAACCCTTTGTTGGCCTAGCAGCCTTCCTGCACCCTAGAGCAGGTTTTTGTCCCTTGATCACATCTCTTTGTGGTTCACCTATCCCCAGCAATCAAAGTCAAGAGATAAAAAATGGGTTGTGTTGGTACTGTGATGAAAAAGAATGAGTTTCTGCCCATAATTGCCCACGGTGCTTGTTGGTCTTAGTGGGGGAAAACTATCAGGAATCCGCTTATATCTGAGCATTAACTGATGATCAGTCTAGGCGTCTCCTTCATTCATTCATTGTCACTGTCGCGTTCACTACATCTCGCAGGCAATATTCACAACCTCGCAGTCCATGTTATCATCGATAGTGGCAGTACACACAATTTCATCCATCCATTTATCGCCGAAAATGCATGTTTACCTAGTGGTTCGCATTTGTGTAGGGAATGGAGAATCCTTACAATGCAATAGTTGCTGCCCACGAACATCTATTATTTTGTAGTTGGGTCATTCTTTTTTAGATTGATCTTTACGTATTAGTCGTCCACGAGCCCAATTTTGTGCTCGGCGTCCCATGGCTCCAACAATTAGGGGCGCCATATCACACAATTACAACAACATGACAATGACCTTTTCCGACACAGAAGGTCATCCAACTACGACCATTAGGGTATCAGGCCTCGCTCTCTCTCTTTATCTCTCCTCTCATAGCTTCCAGTTATGAACTCCTGCAAGTTGAACTCGCAGACCCCACGTTGCCTTTGGTATAAAGGGATGCATAATTGGCTTCCAACAAGGTCATCTTTTCGGAGGGTCTTTCGCCCCCATCTAGGTCGTCCTTCACGATCACATGGGGGTGTTCCAGCTTCTGACTACTCTTTTACCTACTCGACAATGGGATCATCAAATTTAGTTAACACCAAACTCAAAACTGATGAATGTCCCATTTCGGTATATGTATAGTCAGTAGATTGAATTTGAAAGCCGAGTTGGTGAGAGGTTACAACTTAGGGACTTATACAACCAAGTTAGAGCCCATTTTCCTCACATGTGTTATTGGTTCTTAAGGGGGATTGAGCTTTTCACTTTTGTGTAGATTATCATGCCCTTAACGTAGTCACCCTCCCCGATCATTTTCCAATCCCTACCACTGACGAAGAGCCCATTTTCCTCACATGTGTTATTGGTTCGTAAGAGGGATTGAGCTTTTCACTTTTGTATGGATTATCGTGCCCTTAATGTAGTCACCCCCCCGATCATTTTCCAATCCCTACCATTGACGAACTATTTGATGAGTTAGGAGGGACAAGGTACTTCTCCACACTCGACCTCCGATTGAGTTATCATCAAATTCGGATGCATACCATTAATGTCTTCAAAATTGTTTTTCGTACTCATTGGGGCCACTACGAATTCCTTGTAATACTTGGCCTCACAAATGCTCCATCAACGTTTTAGTCTGCCATGAATAGCTTCTTTCAACCTTGTTTACAGAAGCCTATCATCGTCTCCTTCGAAGATATTCTTATGTACAACACTACTCTCATAGATCACGCGACTCACGTACACACTGTATTTTTTTTTATTTTTGCCTATAATAACTTCTATGCAGAGCTCTATAAGTGTTCCTTTTCTAAAACCACAATTGGTTTCCTTGGCCATTGCTTTGGTGAGGGCGAATTGAACCTTGATCTGGCAAAAATTTCTTCAATGGTGAGTCGGCCGGTGCCCACCACAGTCAAACAGCTACGTGTTGTTTTGGGCCTCACTGGTTACTATAGCCGTTTCATTGTTAATTGTTCACTTATAACCACCACCCCACTCAATGACCTTCTCTGGAAGGATTCTATTGCATGGTCTTCAGCGGCCTTAGATGCCTTCTACAAACTTAAAAGTGCAATGACTTCAACACTTGTCCAATGCCTCTTGGATTTTTTGTTCCTAATCTACATCAAAACGGATGCATCAAATATGGGTATTGGTTTCATACTACTGCAAGAGTCCCATCGCTTGGCATTCTTTTGTAAAAAGTTGGGCCCCCATCGTCGTGTTGCATCTACCTATCATAAGAAGATATATGCTATCGTGGAGGCAGTGCAAAATGGTAACAATACCTCTTGGGTTGTGAGTTTGTTATTCACAAAGGTCAATGGAGCCTTAAAGAGTTGCTTTCCCAAGTAATTCAAACACCCGACCAGTAGTTTTACATTTGCAAATTGATGGGGTTATGTTTTGCAACGAATACAAGCCGAGATCGGCAAACATGGTCGCTGATGCATTTTCTTGACGTGACAGTGCTGATGAAGCGGTATCACACATGATGACATACGCACGACCTACCCCGATGTTACTTGACGTAGTTCGAGAGGAAAATCGCATGTCAGCTGCCCTTCTAGCCATTCATTTTATGTGCGGTCAATGGACTGCGCCACTGCATGTTACCATGTATGATGGCCTTTTGTTTAACAAATAGAACTTCTATCTGATCGCGGACTTGCTCTAGCTTGAGTTGACACTGGCTGAGTTCTATCACTCTCCTATGATAGATCACCCTAGAATAGACTTGACGTTCAAACACATTGCCACAATTTTTTACTTGCGAAGATTATGCCATGACACCCTCCGCTACATCGTCCCATGCCTTGAATGCCAAGCCAGTATTCCACCCAAAAGCTAGGCGACCTTAATCCAGCCTCTGCCTATACTGAATGCCGTGTGGGAAGCTGACCGATGACGAGCCCAGGGTAGGTTTAACAGTGAGCCCGTGACTAATGTGTTTGAGCTCTGGGAAGCTTCAACGAGCCTTTGAGTTGTCTAATGAGAGGACCGCTGCAACAAGAGAGCTGAGGAAGATTACTAAATGTAGGAGCATTAATGGCGGATGGCAGTTGATGATTATCATGCCTCCAAGTGGGAGATTATTAGATTTGTAGAGGCTAGATTTGTTTGTATCGGACTAGGATTGGCCCGGTTTATTTTTCAAACCGTAGTTGTTGTCCTATATAATGATGCTTGTACTTGTAACCTCGAAGGACCTCAAGTAAAATAAAATTCATTCTGTTGCAGCAGCGAATTAGGAAAACCGAACCATCTAAAATTATTGTTTGTCGTTTGTGTTCCATTCTATCTCTATTCTCGCTGATATTTGCATGTTCTTTAATTCCCAACACCACGCTACAGTCATCTTTTATGATAATATAAGTGTTCATTTATCATCTAATCTTGTTCAACATAGTGCGGAAGCTCGTTGAGCCCAACATTCACTCTGTTTGAGACTAAGTTGCCCTAGTCATGTTCGAGTTTTTCTTTTTTCTATTATCCTGTATGTATACAGACATTTGGACAAGAATTACCATCTTAGCTCTTAAATGTCTTAGGCTGCGTTTTGTATGGATCTGATCTTGTCTGATTAAATTAGATATGCTCTGATTTTAATAGGAATAAGTAATAAGCTATAAAAAAAATAAGTTGTACGGAATGGAGCCTTAATACACAATTTACGCATTCGTTCCATATAGCCAAGACAATTGCAAGCATGTTAAATATATTAAGTAATAAATGTATTTAATGTTGTATTAATGGTAATTATCTTATATACCTAACATTATTTAGCTCTTTTAGGGTTCTTTATTTGTACGGAGTATATAATTCTCTATATCCTACACAGACGATTAATTGAACAAAACATTCTTTCAATATGTATACGTCTCAAGCATTGAGTATAGTTGACTAAGGGGTCAAATTATCAGTGTAAAAATTCCAGCAGCCATGAACTCATGCACTTAAATAAGAGTAAAAAATACAGTAATACACATGTTCATCATAGTGAGCTATTATTAAACAATCTCTTTACAGACTTGCAGGTTTATTCATCCATTTAGAGGAAATCTCCTCCAACACACAACACAATGCCACAAATATCATCACTACAATATTTTGGACATAAAAATTAAGGTGTTTTCGTCACCTTGTACTCATGCGAAACCTTAAGAGGCGATTCCTTAGAAACAGGCCTTTCTTCTGACCAGAGCTCTAAATTAACTGTCCCACAGCCCCAATGCACCATACATTTCTTAACTTGATCGACATTGAATCGGTTCACCAAAGATAAGCCAAGGCATTTGTCCACAAGCATCCATTCTCCTGCACCCAATCAGAAAATGATCTTTCAATAGGGCATTAGAAAAATGTTGTTTATGTTTTGTTTTGCCTTGGAAAGTGAAAGACGATTTTTTTTTCTTAAAATGTTTTACATGTTCCACATTTTTCCTTCAAGTACTACCCTCTATTATCCACCATAGTTTCTTTCCTTGGTATTTTCCAGGTTCCAAATGGTCGAAGGATTGAAGATCAGAAAACAAAAAACACTCACCATTTGGGAGAAGATCCCCTTCAAAGATTTGCTGCTCACCAGATTGTGGCCAGATTTCATGCTTCAACCCATTAACACATGTAAAGGACACATATGATTCGGTTGGGTTAAGCAGTGTAAACATTGGATGTATACGCAAGCAGACAAGCCTATAAGACAACAGTGAGAATGAGAACGGTGTCTATGCAAAACCATAACAGAGTTTTCTTTAACTCTCCACTTCAACAAATGCAAGTTAAATGTGAAATATGAATAAAGCAAGAACCTAGAAAATCCTCCAGAACCAGCTCCCACATTACTGGAAACAATGCTAGAGTCGATCCGGAAAACCTTAGGGTCGTTTTTTGGCAAAGATATGCATCGCTCCATGACTAACCCACCACCAATATCTCCTCGTAAGGCAAGAGATTCGACTTCTCCTGCCTGCTCTACATTCCTTCTGTAAGAGAGATCCCATATTCTTAGTATATTATATAATAATGAACTGGAAACACTGAAATATGATAACGCAGGCTTTTCAAAAATGTGTAATTCATAGAGCCTCAAATGGTCTAAATGAATAGTATTATCTCATGTGAAACCATCTCTGAAGAGAAAACCGTGACCCCATGAGAAGCAAAGACTAATTGGAGAGCATTTCAGCAACAATACTTTGTTATATTAAAAAATATCCCTATTGTTCAAAAATAAAATATCACCAAGCTTTGAGCCGGGTTATTCTACACCTGATAATGGGTTTAGAGTTTAAAACTTTAGGAACGAAAATACTTAGGTTTCTAAAGGGTAAAATTTTACTTACTATACTTTGACCCTCCGTCTCAACCCACACAAAATACCAGTAGTTTCTAACCAAAGAATATTACGGAGTATCAGATTTGAGTCATGGTGAAACAGTAATACAAATTCTTGCAAGTTGCAACCAAATTAACTCAGGGAAACATGACATTCGTAGTAATTTCATAATAATGAATGGGACTATCACAAATCTCCTGATAAAAGTTATTTTAAGAAGGCTGCAGAACTCACTCAATGACAGAATACTCTTCTGTGCACCCAGCAGACCTGTACTCAAGGCTACTATATTCTTCGTACCCGTTTATATCTACTCGGCTGTGAAGCCATTGATTTCCTGCCAGAGTAAAAAAGGCAAAAAGAAATCAAGTATGAAAAATTTTATGGTCATATCTACAATTAGTATGTTTATCCCTCGGACCACATGCAAGCAAATAATTTCATAAATTACTGCAAATTTCAAGTATGAAACACTGTCAATACAAAAAAATATAGAATTATAGATGGAATGTAGCATTTAAAATGATTAATGTGACTACTTTAGTACACATCTAATCTTCGTGATAATTAATAAACCACCCTTTCAACTAATGAAGAAAAAGAATATCCAGGTGGTGGTATAAATTACCGGAAGGAAGATGCTCCATGTATACTATTCTACCACCAATCCACGGCACCAATTTCAGCTCCCACTCCCCACCTTTCAATACAGCCGGTACTCTTGCAAGTTCAGCTCCTCTTTCCTTACAGAGACTATTTACATCTGGGATACGTTTTGCTTTTTCTGAAAACAAAAACGGGTTTAAACCATAAATTTAGAATTCTATACAACTGACAAAAACAAGTCCACAACAATAACAACAACAACAACAAAACCCAACCGAGTGGGTTCTGGGAAGGGTTAGTGTGTGTAAACCTTGCCCCCTGCTGGGAAAGTAGAGAGGCTGTTTCGAAGATTTAGATACAACTGAATTTATTTATTAAAAAAAGAAGAAAACATTTTGGGGCGGTGATATGGAACAGCAGCTCTACCCATTCTAAGCTGGTAGTTCTTTTGACTTGCCGATATCAAACCAGACACAGCATTCTCCGGTGGCATTGATATTTTTATCGTCTCTCCATCAGTACCCCATGCATCAAGCTGAAACAATGACACACAGGAACAAAGCATGATGGCAATTCAAAAAAATAAAAATATAAATCATCAAGCATGACCCAGACTTCACAAGCTCAAGGGTAATCATACCATAGCCCCTTCACCAAGTAATAGCTTTACATGTAAACGGCGCTTTGGCCTTATCCATGATCCTTGAGTGTTGGCTACCCTCAAGGTAACAACTGAAGACAGAAGTTCAGCAATATAGGTTGTCAAAAGGTATCCACCATTGGTATAGTCATACCCATCACCATCATCTTCATAGTGAAAACCTTCTGCTCTACCTGCACCAAAGATAACCAATTTAAACAAAATGATTTTATTTTCCAGACACACTTCTCATTCCACATACATAAAGATGAGTTAATACTTAATATTACATATGCATATAGTGTGTGTAACCACCTTTAGTAGTAAGTTCAATAATTACTATTATGAGAAGGTTACCTTGTTCATCAAGAGCCACAAGAAGAAATAAATCATCTGTAGGGTTAGCTTCACCAACATGCTGATATGGAAGACCTACAGGAATAATTGATCCACCTCGAAGGTATAACGCTGGTAAATCCTAAAATTTCCAGATTGAGAGATATCACAAAAAGAGGATATGAAAATATGTAAGGATCATTTCGTAATAAATGATCCCCTCCGTCCCAATATAAATTCAAAGTCAAATAGTGGGAAGTGACATGCTTATTAAGAAATTGAAAATGTGAGGTTAAGATTTCTTTAAAAAGAGGTAAAACGTCAACCGCACAATTCTTTCCTTAAAATGAATGTGATGTTTGGTGTGAACGGTCAAAAAGGAAATAGTCATAATTTTATTAGAATGGAGAATGTCTCTAGTAATATCTGGGGTACATTATTAGTGGGATAGAGTATGTTTCTAGTAATAACTACCGGATGTGAATCTTCAAAATCAAAGCTTAACCATATGCCATTTGGCAGTTTCCTCTGAACTTGGTCCACCTCCTTATCATGCTCCGTACTGCTTAAAGCCAGCATACCATTAGTGTCGTTACACTATACAATTAATATGTATTCCATGAATGCATTTGCTTCCCAAACAAATTAAATGTTGAGACACAAACAAGGGAAACTGTGAAAATTATAAAAAAGAAGAAACAAAACAACGTGAATGTGATGAAATGTTTAACCTCAATTGCATTAATACCCATGTATATAATTCCTCCGTCCATAGACTAAGTTTTTAGTTTGACTTAACCTTCATCCACATAGAAAATAATTGCATATCCCAGATAAGAGTAATCAATCTCACTGCAGATCAATCCGAACTCGCAAACAGAGCTGGAGTACCCAAACTATGCTCATGAAGATTGTTCAAGGTCATAAAGTGAGTGTCAAAGTTTAAATACTAAATTACTACTAATCTCCTCTTGAGCAATGAATCCTCAAGGTTTCTCCATGTTAGCTTACTCTTGCTGGTCACCATGAAGGAAAAGATTCTTGATGTTAAGTTGTAACACTGGATAATGACTCATAGCGTGAATGATGGAACAGATACAATTTTGCCCACTAGAGTTTCGGTGTCATCCATATGTCTGCAAGGCATCCATCTCACTTAACACTTGCTTGACGCCGCCTAGAGTGTGAAAGTGCTTCTCAAAGAGTTTTTGGGAGAGACATGCTGGTTACTGGTTAGCTAAGACAACAATAACAACAACTCTGGGTAGGGTGTGTGTATTCATACCTAGCCTCTACACAAGAGTAGAGAGGCTGTTTCCAAGAGACCCTCAGCTCAAATAGAAAAGAGATAATGAGATCACAGAATGCATATAGCAGAGATAACAAAAAAAACACAGAAAGGCCTAGAACAAACTAATTAAACGGAACAAAAACAAAACAAGCACAGAGCCCAAATCTACACGACAAACCAAGCACACACCAAGCAGGGAAATTACCACTAAGTCCAAAGCGCCTAACCGACTACCCTAATTCTAATTCTCCAGATGCTCCTATCTAAGATCATATCCTCGGTAAGGGCAAGAAGTCTTAGATCCTCACAAATCACTTCTTTCCAATTCTTCCTAGGTCTATCTCTTCCCTTACTCCCTCCAACCAACGTAAGTCTCTCGCATCTGTTGCCTCACATGTCCAAACCATCTCTGATATATCTGGGCCCGAGCCTATCATACCCTCCCCCATATCCCACACCCTCATGGAAACCAAAGGACTTAGGTTCAAACATTATGATCCATTTTAGTGAGAATTCAATGTCCTTTAGCTCGAAAGGCCAAAATAACTTTCGTTTTTGACCTAAGGGTTCCGCTGGTCAACCCTCTTTTCCGTCCAACCCAACCCCAAACATCCAAAAGTATTTTATTTCCTTTTGATATCCAAAATAAAGTCTCTTCTATCTATTTTAATCCCTGGTCACAATAGGAAACCAAAACAGCCCCATTCATCTTCCAACATCCACCCAACATGGTCCCTACTATGTTCCCTAGTACAACCCACTAAACAACCATAAAAGTCCAGGAGAAACATGGTACTTTCTTAACCCTTTAACCACCAAATAAATCCTCATATATGCAGCCAAAGTACCACACATTATCCTTTCCCATTGTCCCCCTAGTTGGCTGAATACATCCCCCAAAATCAGCCCAAAAGAAGGCCATTCATTCCCCCTGGTTTGCTTTTCATTGGAGGCCCTACAACCACACCCATCCCTGATTTTATCCCAATAAAAGGACCTCAAAACATGGCTGATATTTCAGGGATTTGAGAGAGGATGTTGCTAGGAAGTTTCCTAATGTCTACATTCAATGTATTGTGCATTATCTCCCCCTTTCCCTGCCTATATAACTCAGGCCTTATGGCCATTGTAAAACAACCTTTGAATATTATAATCTTTTACTCTTTGAGTATTTATAAAATAGTGTGATGCTATTTTAGCCAAATTCCTAATTCTATATCTTAAGAAGTGGTTATCTTAAGTGTGAGTTTTAGGTTCTAGATATTTGATTAAGTGTGTCATATCTTAATTAAATTCTAGATTCAAACCCCAAGTTAGGATAAGAGTGTGTAATATCTCTTAAACACCAACTTGGTTTATCCATCATTATTTTCTATCCATTTCTTTCCCCACCATTTCTATCCTTAATCCCCTTTTCTTTCCTCATATTAAAAATACCAAAAGAACTCCTAAAACACCCTCCATACTTTCGCCCACTATTTCCCTTCCATTTTCCTCCGCAAATCCGCCACTAAATTATCAACTTGATAAGACCCCCGGTTCACCCCTAACAATCTCAGCCTAGCCTCGCGTAGCTTATCCTCCACAAGGGCCATGCCTACCCATCTTTGGGTAACGTCATTATGAATCCTGTCAATCCTCGTCTTTCCAATCATCCACCGCAGCATCTGCATCTCTGCCAGATGTAATTGATGAACGTGAGTTTTTTAACTGCTCAGCACTCTGCACCATAAAGCATAGCAGGCCTCACTACGGACGTGTAGAATTTTCTTTTCATCTGACTAGAAATCTTCTTATCACACAAACCCCTGAAGCCAACCTCCACTTAGCCCAAGCTGCTCCAACACAATGCGCAACATCTCCATCCAACTCCACATCCGCCTGGATGGCCATGATACTGAAACTTGTCTACCTAGGGCACTAGGTGGGAGTCAATCCTAACTTCCACCCTTGATTCTAACTCCTGACCACTAAAACGACATTCTATGTATTCAGTCTTGGTCTTACTCAGTCTAAATCCCTTAGATTCCAAGGAACGGCGCCAATGTTCCAACTTGTTGTTTAGTCCCTCGCGGGTATCGTCGATGAGTACAATATCATCAGCAAAATAGATGCACCATGGGACTTCCCCTTGAACTCCTAGCGTGAGAACGTCCATCATCAGAGTAACCCCCGACAATCTTTACCCTAGTTCTTTCCCTGTCGTACACATCTCTGACTGCACGAATGAAGCGATCGGCACCCCTGTCGTACGCCTTCTCGAGATAAATAAACACCATATGAAAATCCTTCTTCTTAGCCCTATACTCTTCCATCGACCTTCGCAAGAGATGAATGGCCTCCATGGTTGATCGGCGAGGCATGAAACCAAATTAATTCTCAGAAATGCAAACCCCCTTCCATAACCTATACTCGATGATGCGCTCCCACACCTTCATGGTGTGGCTAAGCAGTTTGTTCCTGTATAATTCTCACAGCTCTGAATATCTCCCTTACCCTTAAATAGAGGGATCAAAACACTCCCTCAACTCGTCCAACATCTTAGCCATCCTGAAAATAATATTGAAGAGCTTAGCTTACCAAACTAACCCACTGCGGCCCACAAACTTCCAAAACTCCACCGGAATCTCATCTGGTCCTAAAGCTCTCCCGCTTCTCATCCCGTGGATAGCTCGAGCCACCTCCTCCTGACTAATATGCCGACAATCCCCAAAGTCTAGATGCGTCAGCCCACCAAGTTTTAGCCTGGAATCTCCTCTTGCATGCAGCAAGGTACTCTCCCCACTGATTAGCAACCTCAGCTGTCTCAAACAACACTCTACCATCGCTTCCCTTCACGCATCACACATGATCCAGATCACGAGCCCTCCTCTCACGAGCCTTAGCCAGTTGGAAAACTCTCTTATCACCGCCTTTCTCCTCAATGTCCATATAAAGGCATTCAAAAGCTGCATTTTTTGCCCTCGCAACCTCTAACTTAGCCTCCTTGCGGGCAATCTTATACTCAGCTCGAAGAGTTGCCCTAACATCCTCATCACCACAATCCACAAATCTCTTATAAGCCATCTTTGTAGCTTCCACCTTCCCTCGAACCACATCACTTCACCACTAGTGATCAGTCACCTTTATGAAGCCCCCCAGAACCACAGCTCACACCCAACACCTCGTTGGTGGCTTCCCTGATGCAGTTTGCAGTCTGAGCCGCCCACATGTCTGTAGCTGACTCCCACGCACCCATCTCTTGCACTCGAGTTACCAACTTTGGGAATTTCTCCCTACCCAGGCTCCTAGGCTCCTCCACCGGATACTTGCTGGACCACTTGTTGTTCTTCTAGGCCTTACCCACTCGATCATGACAACCATCACTAGCAGCTGGTGTTAAGTGGTAAGATTCTCACTTGGGAGAACTTTAGCGTCCTTGCAGAGTACCCGATCACACTTCCACAGAAGGAAGTAATCGATCTGCATCCTCCCCAATTGACTAACAAAGGTAACCAAATGATCCTCCTGTTTGGGGAAGCAAGAGTTAGCGACTACCAAATCACTCACTCTAGTAACTTCAAGAGTGCAACCCCCGCCCTGTTCCTAGCGCCGAAGTCAAACCCCTGCCTTGTCCATTAAAGACACCTCCAATGAAAACTTTCTCTGTCTGTAGAAAATTGCCTACCACCCCATCTAGCAAATCCCAAAACTCTCTCTTAACTTCGTCCTCCAAGCCAGTGTGAGGGGCATAAGCACTCACGAGATTGATATCACAACCACCCAAGACTAGCTTCATAGTCATCAACCGATCATAACCCTCTACACCTCTACCACACTCCCGCAACTCCGGCACAACCAAAATACCCACTCGATTTCTGCTCCTAACCAAGCCGGAATACCACAACTTAAACCCATCCATTTCCCGCGCCTTGGTGCCCACCCATATGGTCTCTTGCACACATGCCACTTGAATCTTTCTCCTCTTGAGAATCTGCACCAGCTCAATTGATTTACCAGTGAGAGTCCCAATGTTCCACGAGCCGAACCGCACACTAGACCTACCCCTCCGCACCTGCCCCACACCCACCCTAGCCCCAGGATATGACCGTAAACCTACATTACAAACCAAGGTCACTATGCTCGCAGAGCAACCCCTACAAAAGGAAAAAAAGCACAAGCAACAAATACAATGAAAAAGGTAGTCAGCAGTAAACAACAGAAATCAACAATACAAGCAACAGGATTAATAAAAATACAGCAAGCAAACAACAAATATAAAAAGTATATTGAGGCAGCACTACAATTAATCAATAAAAAATCAGGAGTAGCAATAAAAACACACAGGGTAGGTAAAATAGGCATAAGAGAAACAAGAAAAGGAAGATGGCTAGGAGGAGCTGGGTTGGCAGGCGGTAGGATGATGGTCGGGGGCTGATGCTAGAGTTGGGGGGTGGCTGGGATTGGGCGGGGGCTGAGGGAAAAGAGGGGCTGGGGCTAGATGGTTAGCTAAGACAGAAAATTATAATATGGTGATGAAAATTGAAATGCAGTGATAACACTACCACAGTTGAATGCAAGAAAAGGAAAAAGAGTAGAATGTATACCTACTTGGAAGGCAATGGGTAGTGAATAATATATGTGTTTTTGAGAATCAGAGTGTGGAATTGCATGCACTTCAATGACATTAAGAGAGATGAAGTGTATCAAAGAGGTAGGGTCTCAAGAGTTGGGTAAGGGTGACACTCAAGAAAGGTAACATCGGCCAATACAAAGTGATATTTCAAGGTTGATGAGTAACACTTGTGATATGAACTGGAAAAGAGCATTGAGGTTATTATTTGGATTAAAAGGCATTTGGAATGATGAACTAGTTATATGCAACATTCTAGTGATTGTTGACATCTGAGACTAAAATGGGCCTTCAAGATTGAGACAGGGGGCAAGGCCTTACCTAAATGACCTGATATTACTTCTTACCGAAATAAACTTATGATTGGTGTACACGGAAAAATCAGCACCAGTGGTGTACAGAGATTTCTTGGTCATGTATTATGAGCAAACCACCGGACATGGCTCTGACTAGCACCAGACATAGTTCCAACCAGCACCGGTCATGCTAGATTATTGCGTGGAAATATCCTAATTTTTTCCTAACCAGCACAATGTAATCATGTTCATAACATGGACATTAGGTGACAAGAATGGGTAAATTGCATCTTTCAAAGAAATTGATTTGTCAAAACTTAGAAAAATAAAGACACGAATCTTGAACTCTTGAAGCTACAAGTTGAATCCTTTATTTATTATAATGGGAGTATGATATGATTACATTATTTATAATAATTGAACTCTTTATTTATTTTAATTACTTTATAATTTTGTGTGGTTTTGTCAAAAAATTGGCGTATATTCACATTTGTAAGATATTAAAGCTTGATATTTAACCAAGTTGGGTGTTTTTATTGAAAGAATTTTTGTTTGAAACTTGAATCTCCTAGTGAGTTTTCGTGATTATCAAAATAAATTAATTGTCTTGAAATACGAGCTCCACTTAGGAAATACGAGGTCCACTTAGCAAATTGGCTCTTTAAACTGTCTGCGCTTCTTGTAATTGTGAAGTAGCAGTTAGTCAATGCAACTTTTGACACTTATCATGGGTCATCTGGAAACAGCCGCTCTATGTTTTAAACATAGGGCCATAGGGGTCAGTATTAAAACAAAGCATTGCGATGGTCCCTGCGGATGTTAACGCAATGTGATTTCTGCGTACATCCGACCCCCCTTACCCCGCAATGGGGCTCTATGTTTTAAACATAGGGCCATAGGGGTCAGTATTAAAACAAAGCATTGCGATGGTCCCTGCGGATGTTAACGCAATGTGATTTCTGCGTACATCCGACCCCCCTTACCCCGCAATGGGCGGGAGCCATAGAGGCAATGGGGTAATGTTGTTGTTGTTGAAATACGAGCTCCACTTTTTCATGTTCCTATGTTTGACACTTGAGTAACGCGGAGGTGCGATAGAACGTTCTAAAGTCATTGGTCCAAGAATGGGAACTAGTTAATAGTTATAAACCTGAGGTGCCACTTATGGCATGTGATACGTGGCTAACACATCAACTTGTAACCTTTAAGACCGAAATACCTAAGGACGACCAAAAGGACATAATTCACGAGTTAAAATGGAACCGAGAAAGAGGTCTCATTATTAATGCCAGACAACATCTCGTTAGTATTGCAACAAGCCAGAAATAAGGTCAATCATGTGAATCAACAAGGTACAAGTTGTATCAACTAGATGTCTCTTTTTACGTTTGCAACTCTATTTGACTGTTGTTAGAGTAAAGATGGATTGATGTAGCATGCCCTTGGATTACATGACAAAAGATAAGAATCAATTTTTTTGCATTGTAACTAAAAACTCTTCACTTTGTTTGGTTGAAAAAAAAAAAGAGTAGAAACAAAAAGAGAAAGAATGTGGGCGGAAAGCCAGAAAGAAAAAGGAGGGATTTTTTGCTTTGTTTGGTAAGAGAGAAAGAGAAGAAGGTACTATTATATTGGTACGTTTATTCTTTATTTCTTCCATCCATGAAGAGAAATGAAGAAAGAATAATTATGTGAAAATCCGCTCTTTTTCTATTTCCCTCCTCTTCGTGATAGCAGACCAAGGGTGGAAAAGGGAGCCATAATTTTAAGTAGAATGGTACCGAAGGCTGGAAGCCAAGATGAACCATAGTTATCGATGGCGCAAATGGTGCGCGCCATCATACTTGTCATGGTGCATGACAAAAGTTGCAACGATGGACCAGTTTGGTAGTTTCTTATCGCAATGGCGCAAATATGGCGTCGCCACACGTCACAAGTCATAATAAGGAACAATTTAAAAAAATATATAAATATATCACTAAGATAGCCATATTTTAAAAATATGAAATATTATTGTAACCTTTAAATTTAATTTTGTTATGGCAATGATATTTCATATTTTTAAAATATGGTTATCTTTAGTGATATATTTATATTTATGTTTTGAAAAGTTATTACTTATTTTGACTTGTGACATGTGGTGGCGCCATATTTGCACCATTTCCATAAGAAATTGGTCCAACACCATGATAACTATGAGCTGAACTAAGTTATAGCTAGGGTACAAATTGCTTTGTAGCTAGTTTTGTGATTAAATTTTATAACTCTCTTAATGAAAATAACACTCTAAAATAGTGTAAGGGGTCTCTTGGAAGTGGATTATTTTATGAAAACAAAGGTCATACCTAAAACATTGCTTACTCTCATAAAGACTTGGCAAGGTCTCTATGTGGTAGGAGATCAAATTTTGGATTTCTCATTTTCAATGAAGGTAATCTGATTTCCTAGAAAAAATAAGAAGCACAACTTAGGCCGTAGGTGGAAGATTAAGCAATGAAGGAGAGTTAGAGCCATGACGTTCACTCTATGGGAGCTCATCAGGTTAAAGAACATACTCTAGGAATTAAGACATTGCACTTTTGACACCAAAGAAAAATTTCCACAAACATAAGAATGTCTGTCTCACACACACACACATTTAAACATGGGATGTCTAAGAAAATCATTCCTTGATCTCAAAAGTGCTGCCATTCTTGGTGTACAATAAAAATTACTCTAAATTAGTTTATGGTAGTCAAATAGCTCTACTGCCTCAAATCATATTTTTCAAAAAGAACCAAGCATATAAAGATTTATTTCAACTTCAAATGGGATAATGATCTATCTACATAAATCAGCATGCCATTTGTAAGACCCTATGGTCAACTAGTTGATATCTTCATTGTTCACCAAATTTTTGCAAAATCCTTAAACAACCTATATTCATTACAAGTTTGGTGCTTATAACACTATGCACTAGCTTGAGTAGGAGTGTCATGTGCCAATATATCTTATAATTATTTGTTTACATATCTATAGCTAAAAAGTACTACCAACGTTTAATTATAGTTGTCAAACTTGAATTGGCACATAGTTTAAGATGAGGAGAAAAACTTCTTGGGGGGTAATTTTGACTAGGAGAGAGATTGAAAGGGTTTATTTGTAGAGAGATTTGATGGAGTAGGTATAATATTGTGGAGTGATAGAATGAAAAGGTGGGGGGTGAATGTATGTATGTATATTAATGTATTTATTGCTAAAAGAGAAACACAACAAATAGTATAAATGAACCCATAAAGGAACTAAGGGAGGTATTATAAAACAAAGGATGTATATAAAAAAACTAGTATGAATAGGATTACTTGCTTTTCTCCTTTTTGTATACCAAATCCCTAAAATAGAGAGATGGCTTTATGGAGTCATTTAATATCCTTCATATTTATACGACCACAGAGATGTGTAATGCATATGCGCTAACCTTTTCCAATATAATATACTCCGTGTAAGTGAAAGAAAAGAATAAACCTTGCATGTACAAGAAGGGATCCTAGCATGAACGAGTTCTCAAGTTTTCTCAACTCTTGATCTTTCAAGTCTGCATAAGCAATTGAAAATGTATTATTATTATTCAATCAAATTGCAAGGGGGATTGATAAATGAAAGCCCAATTAGTGAAGCTCAATTCCAGATTATTCAAAAGATGCAAATTAAGGTATACAATAGTATTCACACGGGTCAAACTTCATTCACTTTTTTTATTTTTCATTTGATAAAATAATATAGTCATGTCACCTCATGTTTGTTAGATATAATCTGGTTTGTTCACATATAACCGAATGGGTAATGAGTCAATGTTCGGGTCAGTTAGTATAGAGTTAATTAGTGTGGTGTCGTTTAGTGTGTTTTACATATTTAATTAATTAAAAAAGCAGTGGGTAGTTTCTAAAAGGCAGTTGTGGGTAGTTTCTATTGTTAATAGGTGTGTTGGTTTGTAATAGTTGTGTTGGTTAGTAAAAGTCATGTTGGTCTGTTCTCTATT